ATAATTATTTCATGTGTTATTACGCTAATTATCCTAAAAATATCTATCTTAAAACCAAGTGGTCGCTGGTAAAAGAGGAAATAATTCTCCAAATGCTCAATTATCAACATAATTGTTCTCTGCATTGTGCAATTATCATGAACCTCTCTGTCTCGCCCTTATTTTAAACCCCAGAACAATCGTTTTTATTCCCCCCCCCCCGCGATTATTTGCGGGTCATAGTCGGTAATTATTTGAAAATTTACGATAATTAAAACAGTGAGATTATTGCATATAATTTTAAGTTATTCAAGAGTTTAATGTTTGTATGAGATGAGAAAGAAAATATAATATATAATTTTTTAGTATGTGTAATAAAATTATATTAATAATATTATTTCTTTTGATAAAATTTAATAAATATTACTTCAGTAAAAAGTATATTAAATTACATAATAACAGGCATTATATATATATATATATATTATATATATATTAATATATATATATATATATATATATATATATATATATATATATATATATATATATATATATATATATATATATATATATATATATATATGTCGTGCCGAATGTGTAAAATTGGCCAATTAGCAAAAACTCATTTAAAATTAAGTCCTTTCTGAAATTTTCTCTTATACGTTTAAAGATATATTTTTTCATTAATGTTAATGTAAAAATTTTTAATTTTGCACCAAAAGAATCTTAGAAAACTTACCTAACCTTATTATAACAAGAGCAATTTATTTTAGCCTAACCCAACTAAATATATTTTAAATACGTTTACAATAATTTAGTACAAAACAAACACAATCAAATATATTTTTTTCGTTAGGTTCAGAATGATTTTGGCGAAATTATTGCATACACAAATTTTCACTTGTCCTATATGGCAAGATGAACGTTGCTATTTAAGCCAAGATCGCAAGTTCTACCTATTCGGTACGACATATATATATATATATATATAATATATATATATATATATATATATATATATATATATTATATATATATATATATATATATAATATTAGTTTACCATTGTTTGTATCGTCTCATAATATATACCAGCTACTGATGACTTCGTGATGATATTTTTTTTGGCTGATACAAAAAAAAAAAAAATGCCCCTGATTATTATCTATACGAGTTTTCTGTCGATTTATGGTTAGTTTATCCCTGAACAATGAGGATCTTGAGTATATTTTGTTCACTGATGATTGTTCATCATAATGGAATCAGCGTTATTACTCCTGGAGAATATATTCAAATTGGAACTAAACTGAACAATTGTAGAGAACAGTGAATCATCAGTGGAACTATATTTATCAATCCTGGAACTAAAGTCATTAAGCTGGAACCCAAATGAACAATTCTGGAATACAGTGAACCAGGCGTGGAACTATGTTTATCAACCCTGGAAGAAAATTGAACAGTAATGGAACTAAATTTACAATATGGAACAAAACTGTTCAGTCCACTGAATAAAAGTAACCTTAAACTTTATATATATTGGAATGCATTTAAAAAATATATATATTCTTCGAATTTTTAGATATTTTCTTCATGTTTTTCAGCGTCCTGACACTATAATTCAGTAAGGGAAGAACAGCTCCAGTTCCTTGGATCGAGAACCCTTTTCCAACAACAAGACACCAATGGAATTTTTTTTTAAATGTTTCTGTATATTTTCTTTATATTACAAAAATGATTTTGACGATATTTCCCGATTTCCATGAAAATAAATTTATAAGAAATGCGAAATACCCTCGTTAGTGTTTTCCAGTGAGACGACTTGACCCAAGTAAGGTGTGTGTTGTGTGTGTGTGTACTCACGTAGTTGTGGTTGCAGGGGTTGATTCACAGCTCCTGGCCCGCCTCTTCACTGGCCGCTGCTCGATCACTCTTCTCGCTCTGTGAGCTTTATCATACCTCTTCTTAAAGCTATGTGTGGTGTGTGTGGGGGGGGTTATGGGGGTTTAAACGCTATCGACTACATGAGGGTCATTAAGGCTGCACAGTAAGGTCTTTACCACGAGTCAAGAATACTTTAGTTAAGCAAGACGTAATATGGCATCTTCAGCCCGAAACGTTTCGCCTACACAGCGGGCTTCTTCAGTCGTATAGAGTAAACAGGAGAAGCAGTGATGGAGACAACTTAACCAGTCCATCACAGCGTCAAGGGTGAAGGACTGATTGCACCATCTTCACGCATCTGTTGCCTTCTCTATAATCGACTGAAGCCTACTGTGTAGGCGAAACGTTTCAGTATAGAGATACCCCTAACTTAGACGACTTTAAATCCTGAAGCAAAATACACCTCAGTGTATACTAGTGTATCTATCCCTCAGTGTGCTCTTTGCTGTCTCTCTCTCTCTCTCTCTGTATATATATATATTATATATATATATATATATATATATAATATATATATATATATATTATAATATATATATATATAGTATATATATATATATATATATATATATATATATATATATATATATATATTATAATAAAATATTATATATATATAATATATATATATATATATATATTATATATATATATATATATATATAGAGAGAGAGAGAGAGAGAGAGAGAGAGAAAAGAAGAGAGAGAGAGATCTGGATAGATCTGTCATTTCAGCAGAGCCTTCAACATAGGAGGGATGTGGGGTGGCCTTACTGTTATGTACAAGGCCAATATTGTCAAAATACCACACTTGGATCCACTTCGAGGACAGCGTGAAACAAGCTTTTATCCACAAGAGGGCAGAAAGCAGCAACTTCACTCTGGCTGTACCCTTCTCCAGAACATCACTCCATCTGAGATCATACATACCCAGGATGACTCGAGTATGGAACACATTCGTACAGTATAATGATGTCAACGAGATAAAGTCAGTTGATCAAATGAAAATGCTGGCCCACAGATGGCTCCAACTTCATCCTGTTCCCTACTTGTATGTCTCATAACAATAAAAATGCTTTCAAATGAGCTGATGTAGGTAACAGCTCTTAGCTTGCTAATAAAGTTAGGAATCCTTAACCTGTAAATAGCTTGTCAATAAAGCTAGGGATCCTTAACCTTGTCAAACCCTGTGTAAAAAAAAAAAAAAAAGAGTCAACCCTCAGCTACAAGCCTACATAAAATATATGTTAAATATAATAGTTATATCTGTGGTCATTAAAATTACCTGATATAATAGTTAGTGCTATGATATTTTTGCCAAATATAATAGTTATCCATATGGTTATTAATATTACCCAATATAATAGTTACACCATCTAGTGTTATTTACAGCATAGACGTGGGATTCGTATAGGTTATCTGTGAAAGGTGATAATTATATTATCTTCTCTCTTTCTTCCTTGTTTTCTCTGTCCCTCTCTTTCTCTCTCAGAAACTCCTTATTTAAGTGAGTCGAGAGAACAAAATAGTCTTGCAGTTTTTCCAAGTTTAATTACTTTCTCTGAGGAAGCTACATTACGAAGGCAGATTTGTCAGGGTGTGAAAGCATTGTCTCCCTTCCCTTTGTTGCTATCATCTTCATTCTTTATCTCTCTCTTTCATCATGCCCTCTACCTTTCTTCTGTGCATTCTCATATTCTCCCTGCACTCATTTCATCTCTTTGTCTCTCCCTTCCCCCCTCTATCTATCCTATTCTTCCCTTAACATCTCTCCTTTTCGTTAGTTATGTTTAAAGTCTATCTACTACACGAGGCTCATTTAGACTGCACATCACTCGTTCACCACCAAGAATACTCTAATACCCGAAAAACAGAATAAAGTTCTCACTGCATATACACAGACACATACAATTCTCTGAGGAAATATATCCTTGAAATAGGTATTCTTCTTGATTCGCCGGTACTCTCCCGGCCTGGGCCTTTTCCAAGTGGTGACCCGGCCTTGGCTCCCTGTTTCGGGAGTATCTCAGACTAATGTCTGCCATGGGAGGAGGTACAAGTACCTCCTCATCGTCGGGACCAACTGTCCCTAGGCCTAGCCACATTCCCCGCCCTCTTCTTCTCGTTGATTCGCCGGTATTCTCCCGGCCCGGGCCTTTTCCAAGTGGTGGCCCGGCCTTGGCTCCCTGTCTATAGAGTGTCTGAGACCTAAGTCTCCCATGGGAGGAGGTACAAGTACCCCCTCATAAATCATACCACGGGCGGGATTGAACCAGTGGTATGGTTTGTTTGCAATCGTGTCATTACGATTTCGTGAGTCATGTTACCCCCTCATCTTTGGGACCAACTGTCCCCAGGCCTAGCCACATTCTCCGCCCTCACAGGGCTCGTAGGGAGAAGCTAGGAATTTCTGGTCTGCCATCCCCGCCCCAAAGGGACTGATGGGAATGGCAGTCTTGTGATCTGCAAGCTCTGGCTCTGGCACCTACCCTGCCCTAGAAGGGCTGGGCATGGTGTCGATGAAATAGGTATCAAACCTTGGTAAAATTTGTTCAGTATGTCTTCCAAATTCACCATTATTATTATTATGTAATTATTATTAATTGTATTATTATTCTTGTTGTTTTTCTTGATTTTAATTATTATTATTAATTAATTTTTATTACTCTTGCTGTTAATATTCATGGAAAAACGCTAAACCCGTAGTCATCACACAGCACTTTTGCAAGTAAATGTAATCATCTCTAATTAGCAGAAAGGGCAAAGCCAGGCGCCTCCCACACCTTTCCTGAAGGGACGATCTTAATTTAGGACAGGTGAAGCTACTAGAGGTGGGAAGTAGGTACTTGTTTCACGTACCTGGAACCTATCGTCGGCAGAATAGGTGTGGTGGCCAGCTGTCAGGATGTGCAGGTCCCGCCGTCTTAACCACGTCACCTGTGCGGACACAATAAAAAAATACCTAAGTTACTAGTAATTTAAATAATATTATTAAATATATTAGTTATCCAATTAAAAGAAATGTTAATAATAAACATAATAGTTACCCAATAATAAAATAAATAAATAATAGCAGTC